AAACTGGTACAGAAAGATAAGTACCAGTTCTTTTACTTGTCTTTTTTTTTTCTTGGGGTTGTTTTTTGTTTTACTAACGTTTCTTTCTTGTAAGCTTGTATTTTGTTAGAGTGCTAAAATGGTGATGATTAAAAAACCAGAACTGGTATTGAAAGATAAGTATCAGTTCTTTTACTTGTTTTTTTTTTTTATGAGATCTTTTTACTTTTTACTAACTTTTCTATCTTATAAGTTCATTTTTCACTAGGTGCTGGAATAGTGATAATTTAGAAGCCAGAAAAGTACCAGTACTTTTACTTGGTTTTTTTTCTTGGGATCTTTTTTTCTTTTTACTAATATTTCTTATAGTTTTACTTTTTACTAGAGTGCTAGAATGGCAATGATTCAGAAGCTGGAAAAGTACTAGTTCTTTTACTTTTTTTTTTCTTAAGTTCTTTTTTTCTTTTTACTAATATTTCTTTCTTATAGATTCATTTTTCATTAGAATGCTGGAATAGTGACGATTCGGAAGCCAGAACTGGTATAGAAAGATAAATACCAGTTCTTTTACTTGTCTTTTTTTTTCTTGAATTTTTTTTTTTTTTACTAACATTTCTTTTTTATAGATTTATTTTTCGCTAGAGTGCTAGAATGGTAATGATTCAGAAGCCGGAACTGGTACAGAAAGATAAATACTAGTTCTTTTACTTGTTTTTTTTTTTCTTGGATCTTTTTGTCTTTTTACTAACATTTCTTTTTTATAGATTCATTTTTTGCTAGAATGCTGGAATGGTGATGATTCAGAAGCCAGAACTAGTACAGAAAGTTAAGTACTAGTTTTTTTACTTGTTTTTTTTTGAAGAGTTCTTTTTTTTGTTTTATTAATGTTTCTTTTTTTTATTCTATTAATTGCTGATCCGGATAAGATCGGCACAAATTATGCATAATTATATATAGAATTTTGGGGATAGATATGTTAGTAACTTCTAATATACGTACGAATCTGTAAACTTCAATTCTTAAAGATTACAAAAATGACAAAACTCTTTGCTACTTTAATAGAAAAGGGAATATTAGACAAAAATCTCCATTACGGCGCATATTCGCGATATTGGTGGCAACTTTCTAATACAGGAAAAAAAAAAAATACATATTTCCCAATTCGACTTGGGCAAAAAGCTAAAATAATTTTGAACGAATGTGATTTTTTTATAACGGTTATTATTAACTACTCTGAAAATTCTTTTTTACCTAGGTTTTATTGTGAAAGCGGTTCTTTTTCTAGTATAAAACTAGATCCAACATCAGCAATTTCTACAGTATATAAAGAGATCTTCGATAATCAAACCCGTTATTCCGGATTTTTGGCACTTGGATGGACAAATGAATCAATAATTGAAGAGCTATTATTAGATGTATCATTTGTTCCTATATCTTTTTCACTTAGCAAATACAAAATTTTTCTTTTTGGCATCGGGTCTTCTTCAAACTCTGAATGGAATCATGGTGGACCGGGATATAAGTCTTCTCTTATACGTAATATAAATGGAACAAACTTTTTATACATTTCAACAATAGAAGATGATTTTTGTGTGGTTGAAGTTCATAAGAATTTTGAAATTAAAAACCGGATCGAGGGTTCATCTCCAAATAAGGTGTGGCAAAAATTAAATATTCAAAAATATACAGGCATTCAACTTTTTGGACTTGACAATCCTGAGGTTCAATTACTAATTCGTCAACATCATGTTCCTACCTGTTTACTGAAAAACTGGTCTAATTATGAGCTTATGAAGTCTCTCTTCGATTATCATTTAAAGCGAAGAACGCTTGCAGTTATAAATTGGCATAGTTTATTTCTAAATTGGCATGAAAGTCAAACTAACATTATTGAGTTTTATTCAAGCCTAGAAGATATTTACCCCCCGAATTATCAATTTAATGATCGTGAAATAGGTGCTTGGCGTGCAATGCTTCGTGCGAGTGGTTGCCATGATATTACTCCATGGACGTCTGAAGAATCAAAGGTAAAATTTAAACCTCTCAAAATAAATAAAAACTAATTCAGGTTTATTCTATAATTTAGTATCAACTTTGGACGAAAAATACGTATTACGAAAATGATCAGGCTACAATTCAACAATTATATCATTTAGGATTTTTAAATAGCTCGCCAAGTTACATTCCCAATAAAACTCGTATTTTTTGGCAATGTTTTAATAAAGCATTAGTGGATAACAAAAAAACAAGAGATGGAAAAAGGCGAATTCTATCTATAATTGCCAACGATTTTAGTTATTCGGAGCTAAAAGCAAATTTGGGCGCAAGTATTATTTAAATGCTGCCAAGGTAAATAGGACTTCGGGCTCTAAATTATATTTTGTATCAAACACAACCCTTAATAAATTAGATGGATTGTGTCTTTACAAAATATAATTGAAAGCCCGAAGCCTATTTTCTCTTGGCAGCATTCATTTTACAAATTTATTGGATGCGTATCATTTCATCGACAATCGCTTTACCAAGCACCCCATCACTCAGAGCGATGATAATATTTAACAATTGTTTGATGATTAATAATCATTATTCAATACTATTCTTTACGCCGTGTGATGGGGTGCTCGGTGAAGCGATTGTCGTTGAAATGATACGTATCCAAATTTATTGATAATCAAAAAATCTTGAATAATCACTATAATTTTAAACTAATCTTAATAGGTTGGGCACCATACAATTTCAGAATCGCGGAAACATGCAAAAATAAATGGCTATGGTGCTCCAGCTTTAACAAAACCAATTATTCATCGTACAAAATTAACAACAGAGCAATTGGATCAATTTGAATTGTTTTTTACAACCAAAGAAAACGTTAATATGTCA